TGGAAGGAGGGAGAGAGGTAGGTGTAACGAAAACATCAGCAAATTTGGTAAGGATAGGCTGCAGAAACTCAGGAGTAGGGAGGGTGTCCTGAATGGTATTAATGAAGAATTCCGCCCCTGTAAGGTAGGTCACAAGCTTCTTAAGGAGCTGCTGGAATGAACATCATGTCATGACTTTGCAATGCCCATCCTTGGTAATCCCTTGAAGCATTAGAACCTTTCCTTACCAATCAAAAGACAAATGCCTTGCCTTTAAATCCACCTGAAATGGACTAATAGTTCCAACCAATCACATCCCAAGACTAGATCATGGGCTGGTAAATCAAGCATTCGCACATCAAAAGCAAAATCTTGACCTTGCATCTTCCATTTGAACCCACGACACACAGAATTGCTCAACAATGTGTGACCACTCACCACCTTAACACGCATGGGAGCTACATTCTCTAGACTACAGCTTAACTCCTCGACCTTAATAGAGTTCAAGAAGGTGTATGAACTACCTGTATCAATGAGGACGGTGACCTCACGTCTGCTTGATGAGGCTGGAATGAGCAGAGAGTTTCCAGTGAAACCCGAACCCATAGCTTGCAATGTAACCTCCAACTCCGCGTCCTGAAACACATCACCCCCATCCTCCTTGTCACTGTGAGAAGGAGAAGCTTCTACCTGCATTACTTGAAGCTGTTTCTTCTTGGTACAGATATGGCCATGGAAATACTTATCCTCGCACTTGTAGCAGAGCCCCTGCCCGCGAGGAATAGAGCTTCGATCATGAGAAGAGCGTGAAGACAATTGATTCTCACGCGAAAAGGATTTAGTGTAGGGCATTGGAGCCAAAACAACGCTACGATTGGAAGGAACAAAACGAAACTTCCGTTTGCGAGCCTCAATAGCAGATTCCTCCAGCCGAACTTGGTAAAAGGCACAGGCCAGAGTAGGAGGAGGGGTTGGATTTCATCGTCAAGGCCTCCTAAAAAACTCATGATGAAGTAGTATTCATTGAGATCAGGATTCAATCTCAACATCCATGAATGGAGATCTTCGAAGTCTTCCTGATAGCGAGATACCGTTGATGTCTGCCGACGCTGATTGAAAGCAGCAACGACATTGAGCTGCTCCTGATCCCCAAACCGATGAAGCATTTCCTCGACGAATTGCCCCCATAGCCAAGGAGAACGACGGAAAGACCACCCCTATAACCATGTATGTGCGCGCTCTTCCAAGTAAAACGAAACCAACTCTACCTTTTGCTCTTCTGGAATCGAATACAGCTGAAAGAGTCATGCACATTTGCTCAACCACATATGCGGATATGAACTAGAGAAATAGGAGAACTCCAGGCGCGGGTAATGATCGAGAATTGACGGTCGTTGATGTTGAGGACGGAGGTGCTGATGATCGGAAAGGTGAGTTTGCGAGTGCGGAGAATGAATCGGTGATTTGTCGCGACTCCGACTGAAGGACACGGCCATGGCGTCGATGTGGTCCTTCGTCGAAGCAGCCAACGCCGCAATGGCGTCCTTCAACTCTTGGTGTTGAGAAACCATCTTGAGCTGAACATCCGCCATTTGTGCCTCCAAATCAACGATTCTCGATGTATTAGTCGCCATTGTTGCCAGATTACAGGCTCTGAATACCACTTGTAAGGATCGTCGTTGGTGAATCTGGCGAAAGTGAAGGATTGAAGGAAGAAGAAGGAGTTTGGAAGGGAAAGAGAGTTCTTCGTTTTATTGATAACGAACTAAAAATGAGTAAAGTAACTAGGGGTGATAATCGGTTCGGTTACGGTTTAACCGAACCGACAGGGCGGTTAACCGCAGTCAATTAGCAACCCAAACTCCCAACCGAAGCCGACACCGATACCCACGGTCGGTTATCCGACACCGAAACCGCAATCGTCGGTGCGGTTAGTCCGCAAACCGTGAAACCGCAAAAATGAATATAAATATATAATTGTCAATTTGGGGATTGAGATTTGAGGGCCTATTATTATTCCTCTCCCGCAAATCCTTCTCACTCTCCCTCTCCTTCTCAATCTCCGATCTACCTTCCCCAAATCCCTCTCTCTCTCTCCCCCTCCTCCTCTCTCTCTCTCTGACCATCTAAAGCCCCTCAATCTCCGATCTGGAAGGCAGGGAGACAACCGACGTTGACCTAGGAAGGGGAAGAAGGACATGGTAGCGGCGAATCTAGAGTCGGCGGCAGATGACAAAGAGAAAGAGTCGTCGAAGGTGGAGGCTTCGAATCTTTCCAGTTCTCGTCCACCTCCAAGGCTGAAGAAGGCAGGGACGACGGCGGCGATTTGCACTCAATCTTCACGGGCATCGACCCTCTTTTCCTTCGTTTGATGGGTCTCGATTGTCTCCACCTTCTAATCGACGGAGGCGACAACTTCGGCGGAGAATCAGAGTGAAATATTGTGTGGTGCATGTCTGATTGGGGCGCCGAGGTTGGGATTGGGGAGATTGGGATGCCGATGTCGAGATTGAAGGACGAGGTGGGAGGCCAGATCTGGTAGAGGTCGAGAAGCTTCTGGATGGGGCGGAGCAGAGGGTGTGTCTTTAGCCTCTATTTCATTCGACGGTTACTTATCGGTGCACCGAGTTTTCTCGGTTAGCAACCGTCGGTCTCCGGTTATGGATATCGCCTGAAAATGGCAACCGACGCCGACACCGAACACAAATAATCGGTTTCGGTTGAACCGATTAACCGCGGTTTTCGGGGCGGTTTTCGGTTTAACCGAGTAACCGGCGACCGATTAACACCCCTAAAAGTAACTACAGCTCAATAGATTGGTCAAAAGCTACCCAATTACATATCACTCTTTCCCTTTTATACCTTGGCCCCCCATATACACGTCATCAATGCCCGCTGGCTGGGTTGTTACTTGTTACAGAACGCCGGAGATTGGCCGCGAACAATAGAGCAAAAGACACAGTCTTGGGTACGGGGTACCCTGTTTTCCCCGCCGGAGCTCGTAATAAAATTAGCAGCAGAAGAAGAAGAATTACAAGGAGATACGAATTGGGTTTGAGGATGGAAAGAAGCAACAGGAGAAGCGGAAGAGGGGAGAAAGTGGGAGCAAAGAATGGCGAGCCTTATTCGAGACTCCATTGCTAAGCATTTATTGGTAGCAGGAAGAAAAGGGCCTGGCTTTCCCAGAAGAAGCAACGGACATATGAAGCAAAAAGGAAGAGGAAGAGGGAAGAATGGAAGTGAGGTGGAAAGCGGGAGGCGTCGTTGGATTTTTGGATTCGCTTATCCACAGATCACTATGGAGAGACAGAAAGATTTTGGACTTTTGCCAGACAAACCAGCAGACGTTTACTACTTAGTACTTACTAGCGTGGCTAACTTCTAGATATCTCGACCAAATTGTTCGTTCTGCAACAAATTGCAATTTTTGTTGTTGTGGGTACTAATTCAATTCCAACCTGACACAAATTTGGGCACCATCATCAGGAAGACTCTGTTTATGAGCTATATCAAGTTTAGCAGTGATAAGCTTCCTTATCAATTCCAGCACTCTACCCATGGAGTTTTTCTTTCTCTCTGTCGACGAGGGTGCCAAATAGCAGTACAGTCCTTCCACAGCCGAACAGTAAAACTTCTGAGAAGTCAGATGGTAGTTGGGCAGGATCCATGAATGCTTCCCGATCAGCTCACTATATTCTGTGGTCCTCTCAGAACTACAGAATGACAGATGCTGGTATTGCATTTATTCTCTCTCTCTCTCTCTCTCTCTCTCTCTCTCTCTCTCTCTCTCTCTCTCTACTATGATATACGATCAGCTGATGCATTTGGCTGTTGGCTTCACACTATAATTTGACCTATTTGCTTAAAGATTGAGCAAGAAACGATGATGAACAACAGGTTACCTTTTTACTTGAACTGCAGCATGTTTCAAAATTGTTACTCATGCACAATGAACAACTGCGATTGAATTGCTTGAATGATGAACAAGTTCCTGACTCAATTTGAACACCTGACACGATATCAGTCGTTGTTTCGCAAGTTGCTAACTTTGTTTAGTCAATCCAAATTCGGCCCAATTGTTCATTGAAGCTAAGACGTCCTGGCATGATTCAATGATCGTTGGTGCATCAAATGGTTATAGTCCCTGCAACCGGAACCTCAAGAGAATAACCTCCAGATATTCCACACAATGGTAAAAACTCTTAAACCTTTCTAAATGAAAGTTTATACAATTTACGTATTAAGTTTAGGACCATCTTTAGCCATCCAATTTATAAATCATAAACCCTCGATGTGTCAACAGTCAACACTACTTGTAAGTGGTCTTACAAGACAAAAGTGATACACTTGCGATACTTTGTGTTATAGAATAAAGCTGGTCTTACAACATTTCTTCTGGATTTCTACTTGCCTTGCACTAAAAAGTGAAAGCGGAAAGAAGAAGAAAGTCAATTCTGTGGAGAGGGCAGCAGAAGAGGGACTTTTGGACATTCGCAAACTCTTGAAATTGGGGGAAAACAAAAATGGTGCTAAAAGTTTGTATCTTTCTTCATGGTATGGCCTGCTGGTATGGCATCTTAACACTACAAACACTCCACTCTGTGCTAAGGTAAGGTCCAGCACCAGCAGAGAGAGAGAGAGACAGAGAGAGTTTGTCTTGAAAACTGTTTGCAGAAAGGGCTTTGGACTTTTGCAGGCTAAATCCCTCTCTTAGATTCCTTTTTCCTTTCGTCCTTTTATTGTTCCTAGAGGTTCTTCTTTGCCATTTTTCAGTTCTCCCATTGGTCTCCTCATAAGTCATAATACTCTGCACCCTCTCTGGCTCTCCCTCCCCTGCATTCTGCTTCTCCGTTGAAGGAACCCATTTCTCGTGAAGCAATGAGGAGGAAATGAAGCTCCAAACCAAACCCACGAAACCCTTCTCTTCTCCTTTCTAGATACCATTTTCCTACCCACATTACTCCTCAGCGTCCACTCCAATTCCATTTCCCCTGCCATTTGCTTCTCCTCCAAACAACCAAATGTCGATGCCACTAGGCCAGCAGCAGCAGCCCGACATAGGCGTGGAGCCTTTCCCCATTCACTCGTCGTCTTCGTCGTCTCACGCTTCGATCGGGCCGGTAATCGCGGTGCTGGTAGTGATCATGATTCTCGGCATTGTGGCAGGGATGATTGGGAGGCTGTGTTCTGGGAGGACTATTTTTGGTTATGGTGATTATGATATAGAAAGCTGGGCTGAGACCAAATTCTCATCTTGCATTGATGGAAGGATTACCACCAGCAACACTCCACCGCCGACGGCCGTCACAAGGGATCCACAATCGGGTGACAATGCAGTAGCTTCCCCTGCTACCACTACGCCTACTCCCACTCGTGATCATGAAGAAGAAGAAGACGAAGATGATGATGATGATGATGAAACAAATGCAGCTGCTTAAACCTCAACTTCCACTCTAATTACTACTCACTATTTTGGGTTCTAGGAATCATTGTTGATTGTTTAACCATTGAACGAATGGTCTTGTTACTTCCTTAGGTTTGATTGACTCTGTTCTTTCTTGAATCCAGTTCTCTCTGTTTTTAGTTATTTGGTCCTGGTTTTCTATTTTTGGGTTTTCTTTTGGTTTGTGGGTTCACGTGAAGGGGACTGACATGATGAGAATGATATATCGGAGTAGGTAGTGTTATTCTCACGAAACTGTAGCATTCAGAGAAGTGAGAAGAGAGAAAAGGGTTTCAGTTTCAGAGAGGGGAAAAAAGCTGCACATGTTTTTGTTATACCTTATGACTTCCGACGTTTACCACTGCTGCCTGCGGTTCCCTTCTGCTGCTCTGCCCCTCAGATCCAGCCAAAAACCTACTCTCCAATCTCCATCATAGATTTAGACATTCCAGTCAATACCTCCAATTAATTTTTTTTCAGTGGAAGGAAAGGAGTTTCCTGAACAATATGCTTGACAGGAAGATCTGAATTATCTGCGAGCAGCAGCAGGACCTGAACGAGACTGGTACCTCAATATTTATAATCGTTTTGTGCCTAAGCATCTTCAGTGCACATCAACCCATTCTAATAGGAAGACCGAACAGAACGAGAACAGAATGGTGCGAGGCAAAACCAGTAGGGAAAACCTCGCTCCAGTTTCTCTCGAAGCAGATAGCAGACTGGAATAAGTCAAGTCAAAATCGTCATTACTGTTTGAGAACACAATTCAATAACATCCTACATTAACTGCATAAGAACAAGAGGGTCTTACATGATCAATATACATAAGAGGCAAAAAAAAAAAAAATTGGGGGGCTTCTTCTTGCTTGCTTGCTTTTGTTTTGTTTTCCATTATGGTGAATATAGCCAACAACAAAACAGAAGGCCCGCCACCATAACCACATGGGTAAGAATCTTATACTTGACAGAGGGGAGTCAAAGAGAGTTATGGTGGCTGAGTTGGTGTTCCCGTTCCAGAAGGCGTAGTGATAGCGGTGGTAGAGTGGGGACGCCTGAGCTTGAGGAGATGAGAAATGGCAGCAACCACATGCAATCGACTGCTGGGAACTCCAGTCTTCCCCACCGCCTTTCCATTCTTGTCCAGCATCACAAAACAAGGTACGTACTTGATGTCATAATGCAGCAGCTGAAGACCCACAACACCAACAAAAACACTTCAATCATCTGAAAGACTCAAACTTTTGCTCGCTATAAACATGAAATTCATCATACACCAATCCAAACTAAACATGGATTCGAAAACAAGACCACCATTGATTTCCCTTAGCAGAACGAGATCAACTCAGCCTATTACTGCCTACATCGTTTTCTTCTATGCCATCGTTCATTTCTTGTTATTAGGAACTCTGAGAGAGAGTGGGGGTTTAGGTAAATTTTACCTCAGGCAGCCATTTCTCGTTCTCTGCGTCGGCCATCACGACACTGACCCAATCCGAGTTCCGCTTCTCCACCTCCGCCACGAAATTGACCAACGAGTTGCAGAGCTTACATTTGGGGGAATAGAATTCAAGCACCGTCGCCTGTTTCCCACTGGCCAGAGCCGACGCGAAAGCTCTCTGCTCCGCCTCCCCCTGCTCTTCCGCCGTCAGCGCCTTTACGTTCCCCTTCGCCGGTCCCAATTGGACCGAATTGAAGCTGCTATTCGCCCATGAGGTCGATGAATTGGAAATCGTGTTGAAGGAATTGATGGCGATGGAGCTCAGGGTGTTGAGTGATTTGAACAGCCATGGACCGTCGTAGGAGCAGGGGGTCGAGTTTCTTCTGGGGTGATTCTGATCGGCGGCGTCCCACGGCCATTTTAGACAGAAGAGTGGTTGCTTTGGAGCTGCTTCGCTCTTCATTTCCTAGAAGAAAATTCCGGAATTGGGAAAGACCGACTGACTTCCCAAAAACTCTCTACAGCACCGGGGTTTTGGACTGATGGGCTTTTGTTTTGACGGTGAACCCTATCCTTCTGTTGAGCTAAAAGGCATCAGAGGGTCCATTCGGCCCATCATGAGAAAAGCTAGATCGTTTATGGGCCGAATCAACGGGATCACAAGCAAAGCTCTATAAGCCCAAAATTTACTGTTGAGTATATGGTCTTAATTCACCAGCACAGTGTGTCCTTTTAGCCCAACTCGACAAAACCTAGTATTTTTTTTTAGTAATGTTCAAACCTATGGAAATACTAAAAATTAGCCAAATATTAACTATAAGTTAGCAATTTTGTTAGTAATATTGATTGGCAACGTGATACTGACTTGGAAGAGACACATCAGGGTCAATATTTCAAAAAATTTAGTATTTTAACTAAAAAAAGAGTTGCAAAATTATTAACGATAACGTAAAAATGGCTAATATTTTGATGCATTACAAAAAATATGGCTAATTAATAAAATTTTAATAGATTGGGATTATATAAAAAAATGTGAAAATGATTTGGATAAAAAATAGACATTATCCTATTTTTTATATAAGAACGAAACCTAGTATTATCAATTATGCTTGTTGATTGTTGGTGGATAATGTGGGATGAAAATACTGACTATACAATAGATGTAAACTCCGAAACCGATAATCATTAAGAAAATTTAATGGAATTGACCCATAAAATAATAGGATTTGGGTTCTCGAATTGGATGAACTCGAAAGAAGAAAAAAAAAAGAGTTTCGGAAAAGTAGCTAACGACTTATCTTGATACAATTTCGTAAGAAATGAAAATGAAATTTATTTCTTGATATTTGTTACTATAAGATTTCATTTTCAAACCACTTATATATACCTTTATCCATACATTAAAAAAAAACTATCTGAAATCAAATCATTATTTTTCCAAATTTTATAACGGTACAAAACGCATAAATATTTCCCGCACATTTACAACATGGCATTTTGGGCTTCCCTTCTGCCTTCACGATCACATCACATCCCAACAAGATGACAATAATAATAATAAGCTCGTCGTGAAATAAGACACAAATTGCAGCCGTTTTATAACATGGTTCATCCCTCGGCCACACCAAAACAAAAAACATATAGTTTTTTTTTTTTGACAAAAGATAATCTTATATTGATCAGAAAAATAGGCAGTTACATCCTGGAATTCAGCCAGGCCTGATAATCAAACACAGGACTCATAGACGGATACAAAGAGAGGGCTTTGCGAGCCACCAAGTGGGCTACCCTATTGTTATGCCGACCTACAAATCTCACACTAAAGTACGGATTACTAGCAAAAATTTGAATGATCTCCTGCAGAATCGCGCCAATCCGGTTATCCCTGGCATCAGCAATCAGGACTTTATCGATGAGCACTTTGGCATCCCCTTCAAAACGAACCTCCGCGAATGCATGGTCCCGACACCAATTAACCGCCTCACGAAGGGCTAAGGCCTCCACCACAAGCGGATCATCAATCAATCTGAATTGGATCCCAGTAGCAAAAATAATCTCCTCAGCCTGATTCATAATAACCATCCCCCAGCTGAATGCGAACCACACCTCGTTGCCCCATCCCACCTACACACCGTAGCTAATGATCCAGCAAGCCCCTCAGGCTGCACCTGGGATTGACCATAACTAGCTACAGGGTCCTTCGGCAAACGATCCCACTCCTCAAACTGCTGGTTAAGCTGCCTTAACAAGGCCGGGAACCCAAATTGCTTTCCCTCAAAAACCACCCAGTTACGTGAGCGCCAAATTCGCCAGAGAACCATAACCACCTTAAGCAACAACGCGGGCTGATTGATAAGCATCATCATTCTCTTAAGAAAGAGCGGGAAGGTATGCCGCGGCAGCCCTTGCCCTAAATACTCCAATCCAGCATAGTCCCAGAGAGCCCTTGCCACCGGACAATCGAGAAACAGATGCTCCATTGTCTCCTCTGCTGCCCAGCACACTGGGCAACGAGCGAGAACCTGGACCCCTCTCTCCCGCAATGCCTCAGTAGTTGGCAGTATTCTAGAAAAAATCTGCCAAACAAAGACCTTCAACTTGGGCGGGATATCAGCCTCCCACAACCGAATCCAACTGGGCCGATCCAACCAACTAGCCGTGGCTCGCCACTTCCCGTTCTGTTTATCATATAGCACAGCAAGATGGTAGGCAGATTTGACCGTGAAAACCCCATCACTAGTCGCATGCCAGATTAGTTTATCCGGAACATCCTGCCGAGGAAGAGGGATTACTTTAATAGCCTGGCACGTGGGCGGGTCAAACCACTGATCAATGATTAATTAGCAACTAGCTTTTTACCCGACCCGTTGGTCGGATGAATTTAGTTTTATTTATTATATTTTTATATTAATCTATTTTTTGATATTTTCAAATAATTTGGGATCGTCTAAATAATTTATTAGTGGGTTGAAACTAATATTTTTGCGAATTATTGATTGTAACATTAGTTAGTTTATAAGTATTTGTATTGATCATGCTATCGCTTACTGTTGTCTATATATTTTTTACATTTAAGAAAAAAATCACTTCCTATTGTTAGAATAAATTACTTAAAAAATATTTCTTCATAAAATTTGATATTATTCACTTATTTTTCTATTATATCCATGAAAATAAAATAATTAAGCATTGAAGTATTAATTATAAACTCCAAGGGATTTTCCCTATTAGTAATTTGGAGGGATAAAAATTTATCAAATAAAGGATTCAAATTTTATGGTCGACAACCATTAGGTACTAATTGAGAAAATACAAAATTATTAACTAATAATTCACTTTTAAATAATATATATCTCCAAAAGCAGTTGTGGTTGTTAATAGCTAACATTAATGTATACGGATAGTACAATTGTATTATAATGGACATATCTAAAATATTCCAATTATTTCTTCAAAATTTTAATTAAATAAGGCACTCTATAGTTCAAACATACAATCATTTGTTGTGAAAATTAAGTTTCTGAAAAAGATTCATGATTTTAGGAAATCAATATGAATTTTTTATAATTGATTTTGGTGTTGCCTTTGATATCTAAAAGTCAACACTTATAGATTTGTCTACTATGTCATTTGAAAGATTCTAAAAATTTATAACAAATATGTACCACCAACAAATAAAAACTTTTTGTCAAAAATTTGTGTGCCCATAAATTTGTTCTTAGCTTTGTGCTCGGCTTTTAGCTCGATAGTATAACATATGCTAAATTTACGACAGTCCTTGTGTCTGCCACCTATTTCATGGCATATTAGGTTTCGAGTATCCACAAATATTAGTACGCTTTCAACAATTATGTTTATAGTTACACGTATACTAACATTATGAAGTGAAAATTTACAACAATAAATAACTATAATAAAGAAAATTAATTAAAAAGAATACCATCCGTAAAGCTCAAGAATTATTAGTGAATTAGTTGGTAATCTATTATCCTCTTGCAAAAAAATGGACAATTACATTATGCTCATCGTTATTTTTGGAAGGTCAAATGATCAACAATAAAAGTCGGGGAATTTCAAGAAGATTCCTAAAGATGTTTCCCTCCCTCCAGGCAAATGATCGACTTTGCTTTTGCTAGTAGAGAATGGAGCTGTTATACCTGCATAAAACAATGTCTCTTGAAATAGTGTTTATTTTCAACAACTTGCACAATTCCAAATTGATTCATAGGTCAACGCGATCACATATTTTATTGACTTATCTGTTGATCATTATAATTAGAAGCAACAAATAAAATGAAAAGCATAGTGATAAAGATGACTATTAATACCATAGACCGATAGACGCATCCCTCTTCGTTACTTTCTGTTGGCAACTATGGAAAAATAGAAACCTCTGGGCCTTCGAGAGACTATTGGCGCCGGCAACCCAGTTAGCCTACCAAATCCGGCAATTGCGAGTGCAGATTGATCAATCTTCCAGGAGGATTGGACAGGTTCTCGGGGAGGCTACAGAGCGGGTGGAAAGGGGAAATAGAATAGGGTTTGGGATTTTCACAAAAAGGCTACAATTTCCCCTTTATTAGTTGTTCTAGGCGTCGCCCACCAAAGTGAAAACGCGTCTCCGAGTGCCCAGGTGCCTAGATCAATCGCCCAGAGCTAGACTGGGCGATTTCCTCCTGCCCAGCTATTAATCGCGCCTAGGCTAGAGATTAATCGCGTCTTCTTGAACACTGAATAAAAGCGGACCAAACAAAGACATTACATCCAACTCATTTCAGTTCCATCTTAACACAGTATCGGAGGCATGTACTATTATTATACAAATGATCTTACGCTCTCAATTAGGAACTAAACGAAGGTTAAATGCTTGATTGGCAAACTAAATCGATGAACCTAGTGATCTTAAAGAAAAAATTAATGATCACATGATTTCTTGGACCAAACTACTAAAGGAAAAAAAAAGAAAAAAGAGACCGTACATTAGCATAAGAACTCAACAAATTACTTATAAGAACTAATGACATAAGGAAAATGTAAACTCAAACCGTTCTTCCGAAGGTCATGGATTAAATCATTAGTTGTCGATTACATAGCCTAAAGTGCAAGTTATATCCAAAATAGAGGCAATTTAGAAACAAAAAAATTAGATAAGAAAGCCGTGAAACACAGAAAAATTGAGTGAACAAAGTGGGAAGTATTGCTTTCAATTAAGCTTGATTATGTTGACATAAAGCAGGCACACATTGACGTTGGAAACCTAAACAAAAAGCTTAAAAAGTGGCAAGAGAATTCTTCCCTTGAGGTTCAAATATAGCCTACCTATATGAGTAGAGCCAAGTAATTACCATGATTCCATTTTACACATACCATCTCACAACCAACTGCTGCTAATGCTCTGGTCCGTTCCAAACCTCACCTACTCATATCTCCAATACCATATCACGAAACCAAGAATTATACACAACTAAAAGATCCAATAAGGAGAGTAACTTAGCATGGAACTTTGTGATGGGGG